TTCCTTCCATCACCATCCATGTTGGAACAAGATGTTTTTTCACTACAAAATGGTTCCTTCCCAAGATGCAATATCCATTTCAAAGCACTCTAAACTAGATACTCTTATTGGTTGATTATCTCCTTAAGATACTTAAGATTTTTGCCCTGTGGGGTACTATTCGAATTTCTTAAAATACTTAGAGAATTTAAGAATGTTTGGCTCAAAAAACAAGAATTCAGACTATTATACTATCTACACTATGGAATGCAGTACTTGGGAAGGAACCATTTTGTAGTGAAAAAACATCTTGTTCCAACATGGATGGTGATGGAAGGAAATACGTAATATAACAACAAACTAAAACCACATAACATGCTAAAAAATATTTACGTGTGACACTGTGTTACTAGGAAACTTTTTGTGGAAACAGTTTTCAAAGATACAAGTTAAAGATGGTCAAATCACTTTATTATAGCAAAAGCTGAGGAGAATAACTTCAATATAGTTTTGTATGATTTTTTAAAGAAGAAAAAAGATTCTTGTTACACTTTCACAGATCAAAGAATAGTATGAGGGAATATAGATTTGAACAATGATTAATTTGGGACACCTCCCTTCCCCGAGTCCTGCTGTGCTACTTTATCATTGCAGGTTTGTTCCTGGGAAGGATGAGTGAATAATGCCAGTTGTACAGGCCTAGAATATATAATCCCCACAGGATTACCTAAAGCATGAAGTCAATCCAGCAGCATTGCTAAAGAAGGAGGCCCCAGAATAGAAACAATATGGGGAGACAGATGATCACACTTAATGATAATTGCAAGGGCATCAATTCATACTGTTTGGGAACAGTCAATGATAAATCAGTCTAATATTTTTTATTTGCCAATCTGGAGGCCATGTTTCACTATTGCCTGCCCATACTGGGGCTTCTTGACTTATATTACAATGGTATGTTCTGGAAAAGGAGTCATTGATATATATTCTCCTTTGTTTATTCAACCTATGTACTGAACACATACATTAAGGCAAAGCAGGATTGGAAAAAGATGAACATGGTTTTAAAGTTGCAGAAAGAAACTCTGTAGGTAATCTACAGAATCATAAAAGTCAAGGAGGACAATGAATAAATGAGACTAAAATGTAAAGACCACACAAGTAGAATAATCAGAATTGACAAAGATACTGAGCAGGTACAAAACCTTTACTTTTTTGGAAGAACTATTGACAGTAAAGGAACAAACAGTCCAGAAATATTCTGCAAACTAGCACTTGGTACAATAGACATGAAAAGCTTAAACATCTTACCCATCCATAATCATGGCATCCAAAGTTGTTTCTCCATGTTCATCTGGATTTCCGCCAAATCCTACACTTCCATCACACTGTTCTATTTCACACTGCCCACAACCTTTTTCTACTGCATCAAGTTCCGAACCTCCTGCTTGTAAGGTATTCCAAGCTGCAATCAAAAGCATGTCCACACTTATTACAGCTGATTGAGTGCACATCATTTCTCTAACAAGAAAAGTACATGCGAATTTTACACCCATTCTTATAACATGCAACTGGCTCAATATAAAATATGTTCACATGTCAAAAATCATATTTTCAAAAATAATCAAAAATTGTCAATAGAAATGCGCAGGATTTTTCTTATAAGTACTATTCCAAGGTAAGTAAGCATAAATTTATAGTCTGAATCTAATGAATAACCATTCAAAGCACTTCAGTCTCGTGTTTTTAAAAAATAACCCAACTGGAGAAAGATTAATTTTTATAACTTCTTGGTTACTTATATATCCTCTTTAAAATTTGCCATTAGTAAAATAGAATTAAAAAGGGCTATTTGATTTTATAGAATCACTTTTTTTTTCTTTCA